ATCCCAAGATTTCTTTTCAAAAGTACCGTGGCTCCAGAATTTGACACCCTCCCTGGGCTATATTTGGACTAAGACTGACATCCATCTTTAGCAAGAAAAGCACACAGCCTAAATTCCAGCTATTGTTGTGCTAACTGATGACCATCACTGACAGACATTAATATAAAATACTGTCTGAGTAGCTGGTGGTCTACGGGACACTTGTACATGTAGTCTGCCTCCTTTGACTGAGGTATAAGGGTTTAGGTGAGTGACTGAATTCAGGTCTGAGACTGCAAGCAAGCTCTGCACTAACCACCACGTGCTCATTTTTCCTCCTGTTAAATGCATTATGCTGGCCCTAGTGAAAGGGGTCGAGGAGTGAGTGTGTGTGTGTGGCGGGGGGGATAAAAGCCGGGCTACAGCAAACAGAGGAAGGGAAAGTCGGCTCCCTGTGGATCTTTAAACACCGTGCAGGCTGTTAGGTGCTTGTTGGTGTAGCTGTGATCAATTGGAGGGCAGCGCTGAGGGCAACTTTAGAAGCAACAGATGTGAACAGCCACCGAGAGCCCTTCACACTGTTATCTCAGAGAAGATAAACAACTTCTTAATGTTGTACTTTGGAGATGCCACAGTGCTTTGTTTAAGAGCAATGGAGCATCTCTTTGAATAAGAGCGCTGGAAATACATATATCTATACTTAAATGAGAGATTCACTGATTCTTTATCATGACAGTCTCTACTATTACCTCTGTGATCTCTGCATCCAGAAAACACCAATACACTTATATCACCAGCTGTAGAGAGAATCGTCTAAAATTATTTTCCAAAAGAAATTAATTGTGTGTGGTGGAGGGACAGCGCAAAAACATTTCTGTTTATCATTAAAAAAAATAATCTTTTCATCATTTTAAGCGACTCTTACTTCTTCCAGGATCTGGTCGAGACGACCCAAGATGACGGGCTCCACCTGTTCCACGGACAGCATCCACGCAGAAAGCCGCTGCTGTTCCAGACTTACTATCCTGGACTGCAGCTCCGACGTCCGCACAAACACTACGATCCAAACTCCAACAGACAGCACGGACACCGCGATGCAAAACGTCACGCAAGACAAATCGCTCCACAGCGGCTGCTTCAAGCCAACGCGCCTCTTTTCACCTGGTTTACCAGCGACTCCCCACTTCTTTTCCTGTTCCATTTCAGACATGTGAGTGTGGCTCTATGCACCCAACAATCCCCAAGCTCATCAGGTGTACAGTTGCGCAGAAAGAATCCTGCCGATCTGTAACTTTGCAGGAGGCTATTTATACTGAGTAAACTCTGCCGTTCTTTACCAATCTGGCTGCACTCATATGAGTAATTACATAAACCTTCAAAACCGAAACATTCCGTGTCCGAGTCTTCCGCTGTCTTACTCCTTTGTGTTCGGCTCCGTTTGTCCCATTCGCTACTTCAGAGCGATCCCACTATGTGCTACAGGCCAGTCCCTGTAACCCGAACCAGTCTCCCGCTCCTCTGTACAACTCTGGAAGTCGCCGGCTCTTTGCTCACACTGCATGCTCCTCCTCTGAGAGGTTTTAGGTTAAATGGCGGGGCGGGATTCGCCAGTGTTGCTGCCCCCTTTGATCCGTGTACTTGGACAGGGGTATTTTTAGGTGCGCAAAGCCAGGACGCAAAGTCACACAGCGGGTATACTGAGTGCCCGCTGACTGCTGCTCAAAACAACGCACCGCAATGATCTCGTTTAGAGGATCTGCTAGCTTCTGTGAACTTGTTCTGTGCAGATTCAAGTTCGCCACACCAGGGTAGATTATATAGCAACACACTAGAGTAGTTTGGAGTGATTTACAGTTCACAATAAGCTCCATGGTGCCCGCTCAGTCGCCTGTGAACTATGAGAAAAACAGAAACTGTGGTTCTCAAACTGTTTTCTGACACAGTCCACATAAGAGTAGTTCAAGCTGCACAACCCACAACTTTAAATAACAACAGAATCCAAGTTTACACCAAACATGAGCCAGGACAATATCATCTATGAACTTTTATTTCTTTCTTTTCCCTCAAAAAGCAACATCATTTCTGTTTGGGGTTTTTTAAGTGGAGAGTTTCCGCTTTAATTCAAGAGGTTAAACAAACCATTAAGCCTTTAGGAGTAACCACCATTTCTATAGAAAGTCCACAATTTTCAGAGGCTCAACAGCAATTGGACAATTGACTGACAAGCAGTGCCATGTGGGAACTCTCCCCTCAGTGTTTTGTGATAAATGACACAGACTTGGGGGGGAAAAGGTGTTTGTGCTAGAATAATAAAAGGTCCAAAGAGTAAAGGAGGCCATCATTAGGTTATACTGTTTCTCTTTATATCCATATTCAAAGGCTTTGTCTGTTCCAGTATCTGTGTTTTGTCTTGTTTCACTTTATGTTGAGTTATGTGAATTTCTCAGTGTTAAGCAATTATTCTAGATAGTGATGATTTGTTGGTTTTCACATGTGTTTAGTGTTTGGTTTTACTTATTGTGGTTCTGCTTTTTGGGCGGACCAAAATGCAGAGATGGAACATGAACTCAAACAGCTTTATTGCTGAAAGCTACAAACTGAAAGTACTGGCCAATAAACCCCTGGTGTGGAAACTAAGCCACAGAACATGAAGCACACAGCACAGGGGGGAAACATGGCAGGAAGACTGACAACGTGACAACAGAGACAAACTGAAGACTTAAATACATGGGATAACGAGAGGATGGGCAGCAGGTGGAAACACCAGGAACAAATCTGAGTAATGGGATAGAAGCAAAACTGATTGTCACACATGAGATGAGGTAGCTTCAAAATAAAACAGGAAGTGACACACACTGTGAGACCCAGGCAAAGACACGCACAAGAGAAGGACACAGAGAACAAAGAGACAAGGGGAAACTAAAACACAGAATAAACCCAAGAATGAAAAATGAAGCTTAAACATAAACCTTAATACAAAATGACACCAAATACAAGAAACCATGACATTGACTGTATTCTACCCCTTGTTTAAGTTATCGTGGTTCCTCTGTGTTTCCCGTGGTTTGTCAGGTTGTCATCTTTGATTCCACATTTAGTTACTTTCTACTGTATTCTATTAGTCATTTGTCTCGTGGGAGCTGTGTTTACTTTTGCTTCCTTTGTCCTGTTTCCACCACAAGTTTCAGTTGTGTTCCCACCTGTTTCTATTCCCATGTTATCTCATGAACCTCTAGTTTTTTGGTCCACTTCTGGGTCTTGAGTTCTGCATTTGGGTCTGCAACCTGCTTGCAACACAGAGCTACATGATGACCATCATCATCAGACATCAGCCTGCTGGAGCAGTTTCTGCACTGTGAGAATGTGAGACTCCAAAAGACTCTTTCTGACATGTGCCCAGAGAATCCCAGACTATTGGAGGTGCTGCACACATGGCTAAGAGACCTAGTCATTGTCACCATCCGTCCTCTCACGGCTTCTGTCCTGAACTCCACACCTCTGCAGTCTGCAGGCTTTCTGCTGCAGGTTTCTTCCTGTTAAAAGGGAGTTTTTCCTTCCCATTGTCACCAAAGTGCTTGCTTGTTGGGGTCATATGAGTGTTGTTTTTTTTTCTCTGTATGTATTATTTTAGGGTCTACCTTACAGTACAAAGCACTTTGAGGCGACTGTTGTTGTGATTTGATGCTGTATAAATAAAATTGAATTGAAATTTCATAATTCTCACTCTTTCTGCCCGACTACTCCTCATCAGCCAGCTCCTTGCTGCTCCACCTCAGACTCACCTGTTTCCCTGCTAGCCAGTGTTTAACTGTCCTACTCATGAAGGTGGGATATCCAACACAAAAGAAGCAGCACCAGCCAGAGCTTCCATCCCTGCCTCCACCTAAGCTGGTTTCCACATTCGTGTTTGTCGGGTCTCTATGACATCCTCCTCAGTGAGTAAGACGGAATTTGCTTTTCTCCCCAACTTGCTTGTTCAAACACTAATCCTTGTGTTTTTCAGCATATGAAATGTGAAACAGAGTTTTTTGGTTACCAGCTTGTAAAGTTAGAGACTGAGTTTTTTGTTGCTTCTTTAATACAACCTGAACTTTTTCTACGTGTACTTCATATTGAAACTGCTCATTGTGTGCTTCATTCTGAACCTGCTGGCCAAATACCTGACCTAGCAACTCTGAAAAGCTAAACACAAGTACTTGCCTTCTTGCTAGTCTGTACTTTATAAGTTTACACGGGACTCTGAAATTCCCGAGAACGCAGCGCGATCATTCTACATTCAAGCGTACTCGATGACATCACAAACTTAATCTCTCTTATTAAAAATAGCATATATGTATGGACAGCTCACGCTGCTTATTGAATAAAAAGCAAACAGGTCTGATGTTAAAACGCTTTTATTTTTATGTCAGTAGACATTAATAAATTAAAATAGATGTCTGCTGGGGTTTGGAGAGAACAGAGCAAATAGCTAAAATATCATTTTATCATTTTTGGAGCAGCCTTCAGGATCTCCACGCATCAACATGCAGTTTCTGCTCCCGGAGAAAATGTTTCCTGCTGAGTTTAAATATTCCCAACATTAAAATTAATTCATTTATACTGACAGCTCTGCAAGTAAGGCTTTAAAATTAAATAGAATGATCAAGTTGTGAAGCTAAAGTTTAATCTCAGCCAAACCGATTTGCTCAGAAACAAATAAAACAAACACCAAACCAAAGATCTGAAACGATGCCGGGAGTTCGCTGTTCTCACCGGCTGCAGTGAGCCTCGAGCTCCCAGCTAGCTGTCAAGCTGGTGGGTAACAGACATCTCCAAAAACGTCGGAGCTCTTTTGCAAATATGTGATGTCTTGATAAATCAAGCAGATATTTGAATTTTACACAGCTACATTCTCGCCTGAACATAAAAAAGTAATATTTCAAACTTTTTAGTCACTTTTGTCTGCCAACTGCTGCATTTGAGTTCTGGATGAAATGCATTCTGGGATATTTGGCTCCATGTAAGTCACCGTGTAAGTGCACTCAATAGAATGGGCAGAGCAAGAGCACATCCATGAACACAATTCTGAGCGTAGTTAAGTTGATGCGTACTTTGAATGGGAACAGTACTTTGTCTATAAATGATGATGTATCACAAGTCCACTATAGTGCAGGTACACACGAGTACACATGAGTACACACGAGTATGCATATTGAGAAATGGCCCCAGTTTTTAAAGACTGTTGCCCCGCTCGAGCTTACCTCAAAGGTTGTTCCTCTGCTTGTAGTTTCTTCCACTCTGAATGAAAAGGACTGTTGGCAAAGCAGTTTACATGTTTCATAGATGCTAATCTGAAAGTGCTCGGTGAGCCTGCACCTAGTAAAGTAAAAACGTAACATTTATTTATATAGTACTGTTAAAGTCAGGAATCTATTACAAAGTTCTTTACAGGGAATGTAAAAATACATGTGGCGACCTGGTCAGCCTGTTTATTAGACAGGACATGTCAGAACTGCCTTCTCCTCTCCATCATTATCAGAGCTTTCCTTGATAAAAAGGAAGTTATTAACAACATTTTCACACTCTTCTCTACATCACACTTCTCCCATCGGTTTGCCATGAAAGGCTGCAAACCACCAGAAAAAATGCTGCTCAGCTTTGTCCGTCTAATTCAGTCACTGTTAGCAGGAAACAGAAATACTCACACAGTGGAGACAGCTACCAGTCATGTAAAGGATGTATGCACACATTAATTGACAGACGAGGAGCTTTATGACAGCGCTGTGTAGGATAAAAGGAGAGCGACTGCTTTCTTTGGTATGTTCCATTTTTAGATTTGGTAAAGGGAATGAGCAACTAGCCAAAGATGCAAACCACTAACCTTTGATTAGATTACCTGCTCTACCTCCTGAGCTACAGCCAAAATGCAAAGCAAGCACTGGTGCCAAGGAAAGCTAGGACCCACTCAGTCCCTGCACACATACTTTCATTATGGCAAAACCATTTTAGTCAGTTGAAAATTCATTAAACTATAATAAAGTGAAAGCTATGGCTCTTCTAAACACAGTGGTATTTGTTCCTCTATGCAAGTTTAAGAGACACTCAACATTTTGACCTGCCAGCATCTTTGAAATGGTGAGAACAACAACCCAAACTGTTCATCATCAAAGTGTCTAAAACAAGATTTCTGCCTTTCAAAAGACTTTTTCAAACATAGCAAACAAAGAACTTTGTTCAGCCTCCTTCCCCTTGAAGTTAAAAGATTATATTTTATTATAATGTCTGTATACAATTAGCAGCACTTAATTAAAATAATGAAATCATTCTGACACCTCTGAATAACAATTTGGCTTTAGTTTTAAAGTTTAGTAGTCTGTCTCAGCTACCGTCTGCAGTAGTGAAAAAAGTTGGTGGAGGCTGTGTTAGCTCATGAACTGTTGTGTGCCACTGAGTGATAACTGTCGTCATGTCAGTACTATGGCTTTCACATTTCATGCAGGGTGAAAAGGTGGAGTTTTTATTAGATGAAAGAAATATTTTTTTAATTAAAGCACTAAAATAAAAGCAGTCTGTTGATCCTTTGAAGGCTTGCAAATAGTACAGCAAGTTTTTAATGCACCAGTAAATTCATTGCAATAAGTTCACTTTTAAGTCAAATTGTTTTTGAAATGTTTTAAATGTTTATGTAATGTTTCACAAAAGAGACAAAAACAACAACGAAAAAACTGTTAACCTTTGTGCATAATGGAAATGCAAGAACCTGTGAGCAACTGATTAAAGACAAAGCAATTTTGCTTCATTGTTGTTTGCTTCGGATAGCCACTATGGCAGCAGCGGCAGAGGAAAATGGAAATATTACTGCAAAGCAGCAGAACAGATGAACGGCTTCTGCAAGCTCAGAGAAAAGGTCACATAACAGATCCCGATTCTACCAGCTGGGACCTATAGGAAGAAGCTGAGAAGCTCGGTTATTTAACCAAGACTGACAACTACTGGGTTAAATACCAATACACTGAGCGAGAGGTCTGGCCTGGTGCATGGTCTAAACCTGAACGGTATATAGGACATGGTTTGTGAGGGGGGGATTGTACCAAACCACCTGCGTTATTGGGCTGTCAAGAGGACACTGTAAAGATATGCAAGGTTGGATTGATCATTGCCTGTCGCATTATGAGAATGAGTATATTAAAAGTTTGGAGAAACATGGCTAAGACACATACCAACAGGGGTTGATAACAGAGGCTGTGTGCAGGCAGGAATAGGACCCAAAAGCAGATTCCTAAAAACAGGCCGTAAACCCAAAAGTCAGCTTTATTTGCTGAATGGTGATACAAAAAAAGAAAAACTACAAATACGAAGAGGCACACAGGGAAACACAGGGAGAGACACAGCTATGAGGGAGATCTAAATACACAGAGGGATAACAAGCAAGTGACAACACACGAGGAACACAGCTGACACAAATAACCAGAATGAGACAGGGAAACACGGGACCTTCACAATAAAACAGGAAACACGAGTGGAGGACCAGGCAGACGAGAGGGAGCGAGGGACACGAGGGACACGAGGGAGAGAGCAGACATGGCAAACTAGGGAAACAAGGAGGGGAAACCAGGCACGAGGACTCACACCACTATATAAACACAGACAAACAGAGGGCAAAGGCACAAGGGGAAATCTAATAAACAACAGTGAACAGAAAAACCCAGGTATCATGGAATAAACACAATGGCGCTAAAACATAAACAATAACGCCAAAATACAAAAAACACAAGAGAACTCAAAACTCTGGGTCAAAAGGACCCTGGACCATGACACCAAGATGATCATAGATATTAACATTTCTGTCCCACCTCTGGCCTTATTTACTGATGAATGCTGGCTTTATTATTCTGACTGCATTTGTTTGAGCAGAAGCCAAAGAAGGAACCAAAGCTATCACTGCCAAGCTGCCAAAGCACTTAAATTCTCTCACGTAAAGTGAGTAGTCTGGCTTTTTCATTGCTGCACTGACAGCTGGACTTTCAGATTTATACCACAGTAAGTGGTCTGTTTGCATTGTTCCCAGTCTGCAAACCTTTGCAAACTGGGACCTACCACCAAACACGTGTGGAATCTTATACCATCATTGGCTGATGGTTATGTGATTGTCTGAAAGAACATATTAACCAGCATGTGTCAAGTATTTGCAATACCCAGATGGACAGCAACAACCTCCACCCGCCTGGTTAATGGCTGCTTCATTGCCTTCACACTAAAAGGGCCAAGTTTGAGATCTCGAACCAAAGCATCACCACTAAGCAGGAGGAGATTCAGGCCCCTGGGTGATCTGCATGTGCTATGATGTTGCAGGTGAGATGGAGGAACTACAATCCCAAGGGCCACTGCTCCCAAACCATACTGCGTTGAAATCAGTGACACCTGCCAGCAGGTATCCTGATAATAATGAATTACAGTCGTCCAGCCTGGAAGTAATAAATGCATGAACTAGTTTTTCAGCGTCACTCTGAGACAGGATATTTCTAACTTTAGAGATGTTGCACAAATGGAAGAAAGCAGTCTTACATATGTGTTTAATATGTGCGTTGAAGGACATGTCCTGGCTTCATGGATAGAGCTGGGT